GAATGAAAAGACAGCCTATGAAATGGGAGAAAATACTGGCAAACCATACATCTGATAAGGGGATATTATCTAACATACATAAAAAATTCCTACAATTCAGTAGCAAAGAAACAAATAGATTTTTCTCCAAAGAAGGCATGCAAATAGCCACGAAGTATATTCTCAACATTGCTTAATCATCAGGGAAATGGAAATCAAAACCAGAATGAGATAATACTTCATGCCTGTTAGAAGTATTCATCGCTATTATTCCAAAAAAAAAAAAAAAAGATAACAAATGTTGGTGAGAATGTAGAGAAATTTGAATATTTGTACACTATTAGTAGGGGTGGAAAATGAGACAGTGTCTACAGAATAGAAATTCCTCAAAAAATTAATGTAGGACTATCATATGATCCAGTTATCTCACTTCTAGGTATATATCCAAAGAAACTGAAATCAAGCTCTTGAAGATATCAGTCTACTGCCATGTTCAAGACACCACTCATAATACCCAAAATACAATAACAACCTCAATGCCAAATAGGTTAAGAAAATGTGGTATTCACATACAACAGGAGATTATTCAACCTTAAAAAAAAGGAAATCCTGCCATGTGTCCACATGAATGGACACAGAGGACATTAAGTAAAATAAGCTAGTTATAGAGAGACACACATCCCAAGATTCCACTTAAATGAGATGTGTTAGATTTCTGTTGCTATGACAAAATACCTGAGAAAATCAATTTAAAATAAAGATTTATTCTGTCTCATGGCTTCAGAAATTTCAAGCCATGGTCAGTTGGCTCTGTGGTTTTGGAGCCTCTGGGGAGGCAGAACATCATGACAGAGAGTAGGAAGTATGGCAAAGCTGCCTACCTCATAATTGAGAAGAAGAGAGAGAAGGGGCCAGGGTCCCAATATTCTCTTTGAGGGAACACCCCCAATCCTTAATTTTAACTAGGTCCTATTTCTTCAATGTTCCATCATCTCCCAGCAGCATCACAGTCTGGCAACCAAGACTTTAGCAAAAGGGGATTTGGGGGGGACATATTAGATCCAGACCATAAGATGAGGTACCCAAAACAGTCAAACTTAGAAAGTAGAATGGTGTTTACCAGGAGATGCAGGGAAAGGAAAATGAGAATCATTGTTCAGTGATTATAAAGTTTCAGTTACACAAGATGAGTAAATTCTGGAGATCTGGTGAACACAGTAGTTCCTATGGTAAACAATACGGTAAGGTGTACTTAAAATTTTAAGAGGTTAGAGCTCACATTGGCTTCTTACCAAAATATTATAAATAATAATAAATACATAAATATAATAATAATAATAATAATAATAACCTAAAACACATCATAGTAGGGTTTAGAGCTAGCTTCACAAATCCAGAATCTACCTGCCTAGCCATCGTCCACTTTTCTTAAAGTCCTCAGGATCTCTTTAGGGGGATATAAGTAAATTTTAAAGATCCAGAAAGAAAGAAAATTTGAACAGGAAGCTATGGGTTTGTGTGAAATAAGAGATTTCCTATAAAAGATAGCCTAGTCTCTACTTTCTAATAATCCCTCCTTTATATTCTTCCCTTATTCATTTCCATGCCTGTAAATTACATTTAGATTGGTTTGCCCAACGCTTTACAATTTCTATTTGCCCTTAACAGAATTATACTTGCATTTATTGCAGATACATATGGAATTCTGATGGTAACACTGACAGCTGCCTAAATTCTGTGATCTAGTGAGGGAAAGAGGTTTTCAAAAAGTGTTCTGCTGACCAGTTTTATGGATATAATCTCATTGAGAACCTGTCCTTTGGAGACTCAGAAAGAGGCAACAACAAATGGTTGTGTTCTGGGGATTCCACGAGGCAAATAAAAAGGTATCTATAGTATTCACCATAACAAATGTTCAGTACTTCTTGACAACAAGAATCAACACTGTTGAAAATAGTCAACTTCCCTTCTAAGTTTTAAGAATTTTATGCATTGCTGCAGAGTGGGAATAAGTATTATCATTCTCTTTCTACTTCAACTACAATTATTGTGTTCCAGCATATGCAGGTCACCATTCTGAGTATTTTCCTAATTTAATACTCACAGCAACCTTATTAGGAAGGCAATTTTATTATTCTACTTCAAAGATTGGAAAACTGAGGCAAAAAAGGAAAATATTCTAGGAGCACACAACCTAGGTGACTCTGAAGTCCAAGCTTTTTACATATTCTGAAAGGAGGTCAGAGAAATTGTGGTGTAGGTCAGTTTTCATAAATCTTTATGGCTAATTAGCTCTACCCTCCTGAAGTCAAATTGAAGATACTTTTGATATCAGTTTGTCCTCAACACATAGACTATTTAACAGCTTCTCATCATTTTTCCTTGGATAGACATAGAGACAAAAAAGTAAATCTGATGTGTTCCATTCTTCCTGATGACTAAATGGTCTATTCCAAATTTAAGGATTTAGGTACCTGTGATGTAATTAACATCATGGGAATCTCCAATGAAACTTTCAGTAATAAAACAGATTTACTTGTGACAAAAAAACTATAAAATATGCTGCTAACTTGATTTCCTAACTGTAAAGTTAAAACTGATCAATTACAGACATTATACATGTAAGTAAAAACAAGTTTTGACCACAAATGCTTCTCATAATAGTTTTAGGTTGGGCATAGTGCCACATATGTATAATCCCAGTGGCTAGGAAGGCTGGTGTTATTGGGACAAAATTCTGCCTCTTTCCATATTGGGTTTGTTTTCTATCCTTTAGGAAAGCTGTTAGAATATAATAACTCCACCACTTGTTAGCATTTGATGTTGGCTACATAACCAAGCTCCCTATGATTCAGTTCCTTCCAGTATAAAAAAGGTTTTAATTGTATTCACTTAATAGGGCTGATGTGCAGAGGATTAAATGAGTAAATACACAAACACCCAGTACTAATACAAAGTAAATACTAAATACAAATTATTATTATTAATTTATTATTAGAGTGGGAAGGGACTAACTTCCTCAGAAAGTATCAACAAGATTGCATCAAGGAACCAAAACCACACTTGGAGACTTTTAGGATTGGTAGGAAGGATTTGAGATTTTAAAAAATATAAATCACTTATTTAATGCAGTTATCATGTATTGATCTCTTAATAGTTATCAGGCAGGCATTGAGATAGGTATGTTATGATAATCTCATTTAATCTTAATTCTGGCACTGCAAACACCAAAATATACTACAGAGAAGTTAATTTGTCCACTCTTTAGAAGGAATTGGGCCTAGATTTTTATATTGCTGTCTACAAATACATATTCTTATATGCTTAATTTAACTAAGCAATAATGCCTCTCACACTTTAATATCTATCATTTTCCAAAGTTTTTCCATTTGCCACAATAATTAAAATGAGAAGTAATTTCAGCAGTCCAGAATTTAGGAACCAGTACAGTTGTTGGACTGGCAAGTGTGGCTTGTTGTCATTGCCCAGTAAGCAAGACAGCATCTTACTACACATTGTTAGTCCAGGAGAAGGCCAAAATTCAAATCTCACAGTATGATTTCTACTGAAGGCATCTCACTTTAACATAATCATAAAGTTGAAAATCATTAATTTGAACCGTCAAGTCAGAGACTACCTGTATATTTATGGTATAAAACACCATGTTCTGAAATATTATGAAATGGCTAAATCAGGCTAATTAAAATATGCAATCCCTCTCATACTTATCCTTTTATCTTTTTAGTAGTGAGATACCAATATTTTCAGCAATTAAAATATGCAATCCCTCTAATACTTATCCTTTTCTTTTGTAGTGAGATACCAATATTTTCAGAAATCAATATAGTATTATAAAGGTAAGGTTACTTTTCAAAAAATTATGTCTTAATTGTAGTTCTCATCCAAATTTGTTCTTTAGTTGATTCACTCTCTATTATCCCATACACTCTGTTCATTTCTCCTGTAATTTTATTTTAAGATGGAGATTCAAATGGATTACTGTTTCATTATCATTTATCTGTTTAAATGTCTTTGAAAAGAAAGAATATGAACTCCTTGAGGAAAAGGACCTTGTCTATACATGTTTGATACTGATAAACAGTGCCTGGTAAATGGTATAAACTAGTTATTGAATGAAGAAATAGGATTTAAACTTTTTTTTTTTTAATTGTGTACCAAAGTTTACAAAATATCTATCTGGGGTTGTGGCTGGGGTTGTGGCTCGTGGTAGAGTGCTTGCCCAGCACGAGTGAGGCACTGGGTTCGGTCCTCAGCACCACATAAAAATAAATTGACATTGTGTCCATATGCAATTAAATTTTTTTTTTTTAAAAAAAATCTCTCTATATATTTCATATTCATCCATAAATTCTCTTGTTAAATACGGAGTTCCGGACAGTTCAACACCATATTCAAAATGATACTAAAAAAGTTCCAAATGACACATTTTGAACAGTATAAAATGTGAGACCGTATCCATTTTTACTTATTGTTTTATAATAATCTTCAAACTAGAGTTCTACACACACCCACAAACTCTATTAATAGGCCATTTGCCACGAAGTAATCCCCAAGTTTGGAGATTGGAGTCAGGCAAAGAGATTTGCATTTGGATTTCCTAGCACTACCTGAGCGACGGTGCCGTTTCTGCCTGTTCCTTTTTGAACCTGAGTGTTCTGTGATGCGAAGATACTTAACGCCAAGTTTAGGGGATTGGTTCAAAGAGCGCAGTAATGCACCTTAAGGGTCCGGCACTTGGAAGGCTGATGAATGTTAGCAGTCGTTCTACATCTTTTACAGAATTCCTAAGTCGTAAACTAAGTAAAAGTGTTTAATACTTTTTACACATTTTGAATCTTTTCCAATCAAGGAAATCTACACTGGTGTCCACTCGGTCAATTCCGAGTCCGAATAAGATAGTAAAAACAAAAAGAATCTACCTAAATCGGATGCCCAGCTAAACCCGCAGGAAGCGCTGGGAGGACCTCCGGTATCCCAGCATCCCTCGCGCTGGTCTCGTAGCTCTTTCCCCGAGTCTCTGTGGTAGCGCCGGCGTCGACAGCGGCGGTAGCTACGGCTGTTGAGGAGTGAGGGTTCCAAGTTTTCATACCGCTTTGGGCGGTATTGGGCTTGGAGGGTCGCGATGTCAGAGAAAAAACAGCCGGTAGACTTGGGTCTCCTAGAGGAGGACGACGAGTTCGAGGAGTTCCCCGCCGAAGGTAACCGGCTGAGTGCGCCGGCTTCTAGGCCGCGCGGACGGTGACTCAGGCGTCCATCGGGATCCTGGGCCTGTCTCGGGGACGCCGCAGGAAGCCTGCATCCCCGCGGCCGGCACTGGAACCCCTGACGCGCGACCTGCCGTGTGCCACGGCTTCGGGCATGGGGTGTCACGATAGGACTTAGCGGCGAGGCCCACTGGTGTTTGCTTCCTCCATGGGAGGAACCGCGGTGAAGCTAGGCCCCTCACCCGGGGTCTGGAATGGTTGGGTCCTTTACTTTTCATCTTGGTTACCACCACCTCGTTCATATAAGAACCCATTTTCCTTTGGTTTAACAGCCTTCCTGTGGCTTTAAACTTTTCCGAAATTAAATTGTTGTCCCTAGTCTTGTCATTGCTACTTACTATTAGGACGTTACAAATGAAGCCTGTTAGGTAGGATGCCAGGACCATGTGTTGGGTGCATAGTACGTGTTATTGCTTTACTCCTGTTCCTCGTCAGTTTTGGTCTCTTTGACCTGAGAAACGTTTAGGCTTTCTAAGGCCCTAAAACTTACACGATTTTATTAACTTCAAAACTAAAGAGGAACTTTATTTCTCTCATTGTAGGTAATAGCATATAGTTAATATTGAGTGGCTGCTGTGTTCTCAGAAACATAAATGCTATGCTTGTATTAACACTCCATTTTTCACAAATATAGGAGGATGATACTGGTATTGTCATTTTCTTCAGCTAAGGAAACAAAACCCTGGAACCATTAAGGAACAGGCCCAGTGTCTCCTAACTGGCTGGAAATGATCAACCTGGAATTGACCTGTTCAAACTAAAGCTGTTACACCTTCTACTTGCTAGATTGTTTTTGCCAGTTAGGTTTTAAAAATTGGCTTCTTTTTGGCTAATGGTTATGAGTAGGATTTCCATATATTTATTTTATAAGAAAAGGAGGTTACTATTATGTAAGCTTTCTGGAGGTGATAAGAAGAGAATTGTGGTTGCTCTCTGGAATAACTTGTAGTTTAGAGTCTGTCACATAAAAATTGTTATTGAAATTGTTTATTCATGGTTTAACTAATTCATTGTCCAACTTTGGGGAGTGTTGTTGCTACATCTTATCCTAGATAAGAATGTATTTGGTAGAATGTCAATTTAGGGATTTTAAAGAAAGGGGATTTTTATTTTAAAAAGGAAATTAAGACATGTTTTTGTGGAGGCCTCATTGTTTATTCTGACTAGCTCTTTTTTGTTGTTAAGTATAACATCTGGAATGATTATCTAAAGGTACAAAGGAGCAAATGTTCCTTTTATTTTTTCCCTCCCATTGTTTGTTCTGAATCTGTTACATTGGCAGTTTCTCACACTAATGGAGGGGGGTATGTAATATATTGGTTATTAAGCAGGAGAGGTTTTAAAAAATCATGTTTAGGACATTTGTGAAGTTCATTCTCCAACTTCTTGACTATTTTGTTAAACTGAGAAAAGGCTTTGTTAGGGAGATATTCGAAGTCTTGGGCATGATTGATGTTTTGGCGGCTTTGACATGGTTAGAATTTTAGAACTAGAGAGCAGCTTAGCCTAGAGATTCCAGTTTTCATCATACAGTTACATTAGTAGCAGAGTGGGACCTAAAACTGAAGTACTCCATAATTTATTCAAAACTTTGAATATTTTTTCAAATCAGACAGATATTGAAAGAATGTAATAATATTTTTATTAATTTCCTTTTTCTGACAATTAGACGAGGATGAAAGTAAAAGTGGAAAGAAAATAAGTGGTCCTTTAGATTCTTTTATTCTCTTCTGTGCCAGCAAGATTGTCTTGCTTTGTTTTTTTAGGATATTTAAAATGAAATTGAGTTTGCCAAAGGAGCACTAGCATTTGCAAGAGAGTGCTATTATAAAGAATTCTATAATTTTTCTATAATCAGTAAAACTACTGTATTATCTGAAGAAATCAGGAATAGAATGCTATCTACCTCCCCGTCTATCCCTGACCCCTTTGAAAAATTCCTGGATAAGACACTATTATTTTGGGGAATCTTTTTTTTTTTTTTGAGGTGGACAACAATCTGGTGGTCCCCTAACAACAACAAGCTGCCAGTTTTCTGGAATAACTAAGGCTCTCTTACTTGTCCCTACCAAAGCAGGACATCTTAAACAGTGGTCTAAACACCAGAGGGATGTTTTGCAATGTCACATTCACTTGACAGGTGGGAATGAAAAAACTGCCAGCATTTAGTGTGTTTATACTATATTCATATATATAGTATAAACACACATAAGATATGTATGTATATAGCATGTATTGTTTAGGATGCTAGTGGGTAGAAGTCAAGGAATATGTGCTCATGCATAGACAGTCTTGCAGAAGGACGAATTGCCATTGAGAATTATTTATGTGAACATTGTATACTAACTGGAATATATAATCAATAAAAGGGTTCTTTAGAATCATATAGAAGATAGACAGGAGCAATATCAACTCAGATACTGTGCCAGTTTAACTAGTGCCACAGGGGACTTTGCAGTTTGCCATTATTAAATGTTATAATATAGACATATAAATAGTATCCCAAACATTTAAGTTAGTTACATGGAGAGAATTCATATCATTAAAATTTTGAAAGAAAAAACTAGTCATCATCATGAAAGGCAAAGTACCTATTAAATGTCTGTTATTGGTAATTGTATGAAAGAAGAAAGTTTTTGAACCCCAGGTTATGGAATAATAAGCATGATAAATGTAGATCAGACCTATGTTCAAAATCTGTTCATAAACTTTTAGCTCATTGACTCATGTTAATTACTTAGCTACTTCTGTGAAAGTACATTATATAGGATAATTGTACATTTGAACATGAGGGAATCCCATCAAACTGTCAGCTGTGTCTCTTTGACATGTCCCCCTCATTCTTTCTGCATTTCCTAGCATTCTGACACAGGTGTTACAAGCTAATCTTGCTTTCCCTGCTTCAGCCCTACAATCAGCTGTTTCTGCAGAGCAACCACCTTTTAGTAGAGAATGATATTTAGAAGACAAATCTTGATGCCAGTTATGCTCACTGCTTTTAGGATATTCCTGCTCCCAGACCATCTAAGTGGAAGAAACTAGAGAATATACAGAAGTGGGTGTGTATGTATAAAACCATGAGTTCACACAGTCATCTCTAATTTCATATCAGCACCACAGGGTTCATTCTGGTCCCCCCCCCCCCCTTTTTACCTTTGTAACTCCTTCTTCAGTGGTGAGAAACCTGGCTACTATTTTCTTAAATATATTGTCTCTTTGGTTATCCTCCTCTTTACTTAGTTTTTGCCACCCTCCTTACCTTACTTAGTCTCAGTATTCGCCAGGCCACCCTTTTTCCTTTCATATAGTGTGGGTGACCTCTTCATCTTCTCCAGGTTCTTCACATCACACCATACTGCCCTCCACAGAATGCTCGATTGGCTTGGGCTCTGACACATCATCTGGAACCAGGCACATTTTAAATTTTGACATATATTCTTGAATTGCCTTTTAGATATGTAAGGTATAGGTGTGTTTGCATTGGGATAACTTGCAGAAATGAAATCTTAGAAAAAACTAATATGCTTTATACTTTAAGCAGGAACAAGTGTAAATTAATCTCAGAATGGTCAGATTTGGTTTGGTTTTATTGTCATACTAATGAGTGTAATTAAAACTGTTTGTAACTGTTGTTCTCTTACGCTTTCCTATGATGGTATTTGGTTTAGTGTATTTCTCTTCATCTAATATTCTGCATATATGTGCACATTTTTATTTAAAGGAAGTTGATTTGTTTATATTTAGAATAACTTTATTGTTATAGAATGAGAGATTGATGCTTCTGAAAATTGATATAGAATTTTACATTTGCAACCCTATTGTAATAATTAGAATTTCCTCTGTGCTTTTCTCTAGAGTGCTGTACTTCTTGCCTTTAAGAAGTGTAGGGGGCTGGGGATGTGGCTCAAGTAGTGGCGCGCTTGCCTAGCATGTATGTGGCACTGGGTTCGGTTCTCAGCACCACATAAAAATAAAATAAAGACATTGTGTCCACCTAAAACTAAAAAAAAAAAAAAAAAAGTGTGGGGATGAATATTAAAATATTTTTAAGTTGAGAGAAAACCCTTTTTATGCTTAAAGGTCAAGGTGATACTTAAGATGAAGTATGTAAGAGCTTTGATAGCTTGGATTTTTGAAATTTAAAGCTAGTCATGGTTGTAATTTTTCACTGGCAGATGTGAAGAAAGCTAAGTTTAGAAGAAAAGTCTTAAATAATTTAGAATTACTAGAAACATATATCAGGTGTCCGTTATTGGTTATTTGCAATCTGACTTTAAAATATGGTACTTTTTTTTTTTTTTCTTACCAATACACATCTGGGAGGCCAACGCCTTGAAGCTAATACAGGTGTGCTTATTTAATTGATCATCACAATTCTGGCAATGCATTTAGTGTTAAAGGTAAAGTATGTATTTTATATGGTCCTTTACTTATTGAAGGATGGCATTAGACGTTGATCATGTATCTTGTTCATTTTTTTTTTAACAAGCTATTTCTGGACCTAAGGCTGTAAAAATGAGTGATTAAATAAAATTACCTGGTTATCAATATTGTAATTGAAAATCAAAACAAAATTTAGATATTATTATGAGATATCACCTAACTTTAGTAGTTAAAATAGTCATATAACTTTTTATGTTATGCACTCGCTTAGAGTTTAGAGGTATTATAATTTACACATATTGTAATGTTTGTGTAGTATGGAGGATTGTTGGATGTGAGTGTTAAACCATCACTTAACCTTTTTATATAATAAATTCAGTACATGATCTTAGTTAATAAATTAAGAAGAATATTTAAAGTTTCCCTCTAAAGTAGATAACAGATTCTGATTTAATATGAACATTACTTTTTTTAATAATAAGTGTTCTTATTAAATAACTTTAAATGCTTAATAAGTGGTCACTCATAAGAAAAGTTATTTCTTGATTCTT